GTTCTACTTTTGACTAGGCTAATATTTATTATTCATGATTCTCATCTTTACCCAGGAAGACTTTCTCTAAACTATTTTGGGGCTACATATTTCAAATTCTTTTCAGTAACACATACAATCACTTATTTAGTATCTGCCCTGCCCACTAGTCGCTACAGATTAAAACTCCAAGGAAAGCTGGGATGATATTCTTCTTTTCTTTTTCTCTCATCCTGACTGTTTTTCTTCATGTTTTCCTATGGACTCTCTATAAATTACAAAAGTGCCTGTGAAACTAAATTTAGTATTTAATAAATGCTTGTTGAATGAATGAATGAAGTTTGAACAAAGATTTTTTTTTTTAGTGCATGCATATCACAGTACCTTGGTTGTTGTAGCCTTATGAATCACCTACCACCTTTGGTTGGGAAGTGGAATTCAGTCTAAGGACTCCAAGAAAGGAAATGGCTTTATTCTGAGTACAGACCACTTTAGAGGATGCCACGAATAGAGAGTTCGAGGACTGTGAAGGTATTTATGCGATGCCTAGATATTTCCATCTGTCAAGGAGGTCATTTTGCAGGAAGATAGAATCTTACTAAAGATAGGTGGGGACCAACATCCTGGGAAATCTGAGATATGAATCTGATATAATCCTTTTTGTAATTTTAGCATGATGGAGTGGAAGGTATTTGGGTTCAGCACAAAATTTGGTAGAACTTTTTAAATCCACTAATCTTATCTTTTGTGTGGTTCAGTCTTTTGTTGTCTGTATAGCTAATGTGCTCTGTTTGAGGACTTTTAAGAACATCATGATAGTTTATTACACTTGCTTGAACCTTTTCCATAAGACTAAGTCTAACAAGTCTACTCTTCAATACTCTCGAAAGACCTCAGCCTATATTGCAATAGAAAGCCCATTGGAATTACCTTAATATTGCTTTTAAGCTGAGCGTCCTGAGAGGAAGTTATAATAGTTCTATAATGGCCTTTGGAGCCATCTTGATGGACCAAGAATGTGGACAGGGAGAGATAAAAAGAAAGAAGGTAGGCAATGTAAAACAGCCAAACTCAGTTCTAACACACTATTTCCCATTTATACTCAGTAGCAAAGCAGCTGGTTTAATAGTTGCTGCACATTTAATTGAAGTACAATATAGTTGGTAAGGAATATTTTCTAATGTATGAGAAATTTATGTAATACATGAATTAATATAAATAATTGTGTGTGTGTGCGTGTGTGTCCATATGCACATGCACCAGTACTGGGGCTTGAACTCAGGATCCCACACTCTCCTTTGGCTCTTTGGCCAATAGCTAAGCCATGCCTCCATGTTCTAACTGGGCAGCTTCCTAACTAACCACCCTGGAGTCCTTCCGAAGCCTTAAACCAAATGAAATAAAGCTTTTTTTGCAGCCAAAAACAAACAAAAAAACAAAAAACAAAAAAATTCCCCCCAAACCAACATAAACCCCAAGCAAAGAAATGTACTTCAGTGTTGAACTTTACAGTTATGCTTTGATGTAGATAACTTTCTCTTTAGCACAGAAGATAATTGATCTTAAAAACATTAGGAGCTAGGGGCTGGGAAGTTGGCTCAGTGGTAGAACGCTTGCCTTGCATGCCTGAGGCCCTGAGTTCGATTCCTCAGCACCACATAAGCAAAAAGAAAAAAGCTGGAAGTGGCGCTGTGGCTCAAGTGGTAGAGTGCTAGCCTTGAGCTGAAGAGCTCAGGGACAGTGCCCAGGCCCAGAGTTCCGGCCCCACGACTGGACCCAAACAACAACAACAACAACAACAACAACAAACATTAGGAGCTAATAATGGGTGTGTGGTTATTGTCAGAGTATGGTATGAATGTCATAATTAAACTCATTGCTTGGTACAATTAATATATGTGTACTGAAAAGAAAAATAGTTACTAGATTTTAGGTCTACCACATATTCTGAGAATTTACTAGAGTGAAGGAAAATAACACATCCTGATATTCTTAAAGTTTCTAAGACTGTTTTTCTGATGCCTGAAATAAATTCCTATCTGTGGAATAAGGTTGTCTTTGGGTGATAATACCTTTCTTTTTCATAATGTAATGAATAGAGAATGATTGCATGCAAGCAAGAATTGTACATAAAAACTCTTAGAGGCCAGTATTACTAGAAACTTCATTTATTCCTGTATTTTACTGACACATGTAATTGTGTCAATGATTATTATTCATAATTAAAAATAATTTTGAGTAGTTATACAAAAGGTTTAATGTATATATATATTAATAATAGCACTTTGAAAGCTTAGATGTGAATCCCAAGGCAATAAACATTTTTTCATTCTGAATATATCTATAATGATAAGTTTTATACATATTCATACATATTCCTGAGATTGTGGTTCTTTTGGTAGTTGTTAGGAGAATATGTACTTGGAGCTAGCAGTCCCAAAACTAAGGGATTTACAAAACTGGATTCTCACATACTTTGGTTCTCTACTCTCTAAATGAAGAATCTGGTCATGCTCATTCTAGAGTTTAAAATCTAGGATGGTCCTTTATAACTGGACTCTTAGTTAACTAAGATTGGAGAAACTAAGAGAAACTTAAGAGGCCAGTAGTAAGAGCACTGTGTAGGAATTGATAGAAAACTAATTCTTGAAAGAAGGCAGTTGGTATATTGTCAATTCTTTTTTTTTTAATTGTGAAAATACTGTACAGAGGGGTTACAATTACATAAGTTGAAAGACTTATTTTTAAGACTCATTTTAGTGAAACATCCAGTGCTAACACTATTTTTGAGACTCTATGACCTCTCCTTCATATCTAGTTTTGAAACCTAAAAGAAACATTATTTAAACACCGAAGAGTGTTTGGTAGCACTCTAATTAGTAGACTTGGTTCAGAAAGGCTTTTGATTATTTATAAAAATTAAATTTATCTGCAAAGAACAAACATTTTCATCATAGTGTGAGCTATGCAATTAACTTGAAAATAAGAATTTTAAAGATGTATTTTCATTTATATAAATTGACCTGCTTTAGATACTAATTGTCAGCTTCTAATCAGAGCTTAAAAATGTAAAGCATATAGAGTTGCTTTTGTTTGAGGTAAATGGAAAAAAACCCACTTAAAGGTCCTGTCAATTAAGAAATTAATATGTTTGACCTAATGGAAATATCTTTGATTAGGCCACTGGCAGATAATTTTCTTATAGTGTATAGAGACTGGCCTGTTGATATTAGTTATGCATTTATGTGTGTGAGGGTCCTTATCAAATTGTGTACCTACAGGTAGAAGTTAGATGTCAGGGGAGGACCATAGGTAATGAAGTCTAAAGACTCAAATTCTATTTTTATATACTGTTCAATCTTTAATCCATTAAAGTCCTATTTTAAAGTTTAAGTATTTAAAGTAATAGTAGCATTAACACATATAATATTACCTGAATATTAAAAACAAATTTAGAAGTGTTTTATGAACCAAAAATATTTCTTGATTTATATGTACATGCATGTATGTGTATGTTTTTGACAAATAGGTTTATGCACACCTATAAAATCAGAAATAATAAATAAAAGTCAAAATAGGGACAGTAGTTGTTGAGGTCAAACCCATAATTGAATATCTTAGTTTAAAAAGATATTAGGAAGTTGCTTAAAATCGCAATGTGGCTTATCTTTTTTTGTGACCATGTTTATTCATGTTAAAAAAGAATCTACAAGATTTTATAAACTGTATCTAAGTTCTTATGTATTTACAGTGATTGTGTGTGTGTGTGTGTGTGTGTGTGTGTGTGTGTGTGAAAATAGAGAGGATGAGGGCAAAGAGTTGAAGGACCAATGAGGTCGAAGGTGTTAAACATCAAGGATTAAATTAAAGATCACTGAAAACATTAAGCATTACCGCATTTAAAATATTTTTTCACAAAATACATCAAGATGAATGTATGCCACTGAATATAGAATGACACAATATTTTTTTCTGAAACAGAACTACTCACTGGAAATTATGATGGTGTAGGGGTATTCTGAGGCTATTGGAGCAAACAAGAAATAGTCTGTTAAGGCACCATGACTGATACTATTTTTTTTAAACAAACTTCATAGTAGTTGATAAAAGTATCTGTAGTGATGGTCTCTTTTTTTTTGCTTTGTCAGAAGCTTTTAAAATGTACTATTTAGATGAAATTTTAACTGACATATTATACTTTTTTCTACAATTACATGACCAGTTATGTTGTCACTATATATGATGTTTATAAAAGAACTTGGGTGAATATTTTTTGCTTTTCTTTAAAAGTACATAAAGACATTTATAAAATTAAATTAGAAATAAAATGACCAAATACATATTTTCTAAATGTACCCCATTCTAGAAGTATGACATAATAAACATAGATGATAAAAGCCTTATTGTTATCATATTTTTTATTGCTTCATGATATCAAAAGGAGAATATACCACTGTGTTCTGGTCCTATGCTGTAGCTTGCACATTGAAGAGATAGACCGTGTTGCTGGAGTCACTCATTTTTCAGAAAAGAAAAAGGGATTGGAGAAATGCACAATTTCTCTTCCTTTTTCCATAGCGACATTGAAAAGATACCTTGCCCCCATTTTTATTACTTCTGAGATTTTATTGCTGGTAGCCAGATGTGCTGAAACTCCTGACGACAGCATCTATTCATTGCGTGTTTTTAATAGGCTTAGAGAAATATGAGTAGAGTACATGAAAGCAGCTCAGCTTCACACTTCAGCTGGGGATGCCCAAAAAGCTTACTGCTGTTTAGAATTCTTGCTACAGTCAGGAGAAAGCCGAAAGCTGCACGAGTACTGAATCTTTTACGACTGAATTAGAAGAATAATGACTGTACAATTAACTATCAACCTCTGCTCATTTAAGCACAGTTTTTACAGAGCTCAGGAGAAATATGGAACTTGATTGACATGTTTTTATTTGATGGTGTCTGCAAATAGCTGACTTTAAAGACAGGTGGTAAGGAAAAATAAGAGAAGGGGGAAAAGAAAGAAAATGCAATTTGAGACATTGCGCCAAGTCTGCAATTCTGTTTTATCTCATTTTCATGGGGTTTTTTCATCCCCACCAAATATTTTACAAAATGAGCTTTTTGGACAAACACTGAACAATGCAAGGTGAGTAGAACCAACTGTATTTTCTTTTAATATTATTCTTTTCAGAACAGTAATCTTATATGTGTATAAACTGCTTTTTATTAAAATATTAGTATTATAAGGGTGCTGTCTTTTTACTAAAAATACAAATTTTATTTACTGCTCTTGATCTGATTTTAAGAAAGAAAATAATCTTTCCTTCTTCAAGGTGCAAGAAATATTTTAAATTTAAGTAGATTGACCTCTGAAATACAATACAGATATCAAACTGTATTTTTTATTCCTTTTCTAATAAATAAAATGATTAACTTAAATGCTTGATAGATTTTTTTTTATAATTATGGCACTGATTACATTGCACATCTAAGGATGTGGCTATATAATCGTATGTGATTTGTTGAAAAATGTGAATTAGCAATCATGCATGCTCTTGTAAAACAGGCAGAAGATGATTTCTAGGTCTAAGACATTTCTCTCTGCAGGGTAGATCAACAATCACTTTTAAACTAGCTATATGGCAGAACTGCTAGTGCTTTGTATTAGGTTGGCTAGTTTGGAAGGACTCATTGTTATACATTTCCATTGCTTTTCCAACTGGTCATTTTTTTGTGATGTGGGTTGTTAAATTATGAACATATGTTTTAGGTGGTTTTCTCTGGCTTTCACTAATAGAGATATTCTAATGAAGAAAGCTTTTAAAATGTAGTTTTATTACCCTGTTCTTTCCTTATGTAAATTGTTTGAAAGATTTTCTCCTGTTATATATTAAGTATAAAAAGACAATTTTAAGTAAATACATGTGGAAGTAGACAGGAAAGAAATTCTGTGAACATGAATGCACTGAAATCTTCTGGAAATCAATGGTAACTATGAGTGCATAGAATACTGAGTGATTTTGTTGATCTTTTCTTTTAGAATCTCTGAACACTATGGGGCAGTCTCTTCCAGAGATTAAAAAAAAAAACTGTTATACAATATGTCTCTTAATTCAGCAAATGAAGAGAGGCTTTAAAATTATTGGCAATTAAATGCTTACTGATGCTGAATATATTTATGCCTTTTCTTAAATATGAAATAGTGTATCTTTTTAAAATAAGTTTTCCTTTTCATCAGTGTAGGTTTGCCTAATGAACTGAATTGTTTTTTTTTCATTTTTATTTTCAGACTAATTTAAATACAGCATACAAAATGGTAGCATAATTTATAATAGGCTGTCTGTATTTTCAGGTATTATTTTCTTTTTTAGTAATATATTACTTTACTGTCTGCAATTTATGATGAAAAATATTATTGCATGCATTCCATGTTATTTTTTTAATAAAGAAAGTAGCTTTATAAAATTTTCCATGACTTTAAGCTACCAGAGTTTTCTAATCTGTACTTCTCCATTATAATTCTTTAAAATTTTACTTATTTTTATGCCAACAATTTATTCACATTAGGACTAGGTTCATATTCACAGTAGATAGCAATGAAAGGAATTTGTTTTAAAAATGAGTGTATATAGGTTTAAATATTTTTTAGAATGTTTATTTTTTGGGAAAATTGCATACATCTTTATAAACTATGCCTTTGCCTTGGTTTCGAATTTATTTTATTGTTGACATGTTCATAACTTTAATGCTTTAATTAAAATCTGAGTTCCCACTACTGTGATTAAACCTTAAATTGAAAAGTGCTTAGGGCTTCAACAAGACCAATCTTCTTTAACTTACTTTCAGTGATCAACTATTCAATATGAATTTATTATTTTTTCAATTATCAAATCATTCTATAATGAATTTATCCTGCTTTAGAAAAATATATCCTGACTGTGTCTAACTGTTGGCTGTCATTTTACAAATTGGGACTGGGGACTTCATGAACAGTCAAGTATTTGATTTACTTTCAAGAGCAAGTTCAAATAAGTTGTACAAATAATAACTCTGTAACTATGGAGAATGAAAAATTAATGCTACTAGTTTACTTTTGGTTATTTTTAGTGTTCAGATTGGATAAAAATGTCTTTTAAACTTTTTATTCTGCTTTATTTTATAGAAGGTTTGAATTCCTAGATATTAACACTGACACAAAAATAAAAAAAACTAAAATCTCACTTTTGAAAAAAAATTATGGAAGAATGACCTGTGTATGTCATTGGAAACTGCAGTCATACAATTAAGATTTTTAAAAAAATAATGAGGCTTATAAATTCATGGACTTCTTCATATTAAAGGTTTTGAGTTTTTAAAGCATCAGTTATGTAACTATGACATATGAAAATCAGTTTTGATTATTACTATATGGATAGTAATCTCTTAATTGTTAGGGATCATTGACATGTAATATTCAATACTTGTTTTAGGATGTAGTTTTGGAAACAAAAACTTGTCTTTGGGAACCAATCATATCCTTAAATCTGCAACTCAACTTACATTAAGTTTTAGATGATAGGACAGTTGACTGCCATGATATGTAGGAATCAAAGGTTAAAGAATGAAAATCTCCTGTGGTAGGTACCAATGCATTTTCAAGTTCAACTTTTCAAAAGCGAAAGATTTCCTGTATACAAAGAACATTTTAAGTGTGACATCACTCAATTAGTGATTAATATAGTTTAACCATTTTATTTTCTAGTAAATAATGGAAATTTTATTCACTGGAATACTTTAAACTTTTTGTTGGAAGCAATGTAGCATGACCTTTGTGTTTGAGACGGAAAATTCTTAGCTTTATTCTCTTGTCTTTGTGGTCCTTAAGTACCTTTTTAGTGCATAAAGGAGGTGATAGTATGTCCTCTGCTCCATAGCTAAAATGCAACATCCAAAAATCCAGCATTAATTGAAAAAATTATGTGTATCCTACATAAATCCACTTGAGAGGTTTTAATGAGATGCCACTTTAACTTCTTTTTATCAAGTCTTCACATTGTAAACTTGTTTTTGTTTCCCCAAATTAAATGATTTAACCAAGGCAATAAATAACTAAAATGTTGAATTCATTATGAAATGTAATTTTTGTGATCTTGTCTTTAGAAGCAAACATAAGTATATTCAAATACTAGAAGAATGTGATTTTTGAATCAGAGATTCCTACATTATCAGTTGGTTTGAACAGCATTGAAATGAATACAATGATGATGATTTTTGTAAAAAATATTGGAAAAATGTACTTAATATTCTCAGCAAATTTTTTCATTGTTGGTTTTGAGCAATTCTTCTTGTACAGTGAATAAATTTGCATTTTATTTTAGATATAATTATTTCCCTGTCACTAAATGTGTAACAGTGAATTTGTTCTGGCCAGAGAGGGCATATTAGAACTGGAATTTATTCAGAATAGATAGTAAATGCAGTGTTTAATCTCTTTTGCATATATATATGATGAGATATGATAACTTTAATACTTAAAAATAAAATTAAAAGTTAGTAGACCAAGGAATATTTGTATTTGTTGGTATCTTTAATTGCAAGTAAGGAAACTGTATAATCTAGTTTTCATGGAGTCCCACATTATGTCTTCCATCCTCTAGTGATCATTATTAGGGCCACATCTTTTCTCCAAAGTGTTATGATTTGACAGTAAATTGCAGGACTGTCATTATGTATAATTATAATATATGTAATATAATAAATTATAAAACTTAAACTCACTAACTGTATATAGATTCCAGTGAACATTGCCATTGTTCTAAAACATTAATATTATTTGAAATAAAACTCAATTTTACAGAATAATCTTTATTTAGTCTGGTAGTGTTTTTGGTTAGAGTACTTAGTTCTTTTCATAGAATTTTCTATTGCTTTGGCTAATGTTGAAATCATTAATTTGTGCTCCAAAGTTTTGGAATACACTCTTATTAATCACAATAGTGCATTAATGACTACTTTGACATTGAAATAATAGCATGCTTTCTTATCATAGCCTTGAGGATGTAATCTATACATTGTGCAGTATTTGGACTTGGTATGATTATACTATAACCCACATTTCATTTTGGGAACATATTTTATGAAAAATCTATTCTGAGTTGTAAAGCATGCATACTCTGATACACAATATGTACATAGAAAATTAGGTGTATATAGTAATTATTATAGGCATAAAAGCTTAACTTAGTACCACTGCTTGTTTGGATACCAGAGTATAATGACTTTTGATCGAAATATGCAAACCACTTTACTAGCATGTTTACTATAGACCTTAGTTTTATACCTCAGTTTTTAATGTAAATACTAAATATGATACTGATTGTTGGTCTTAAGTTATTTTTAGTGAAGTAACTTTATTAAGAGATTGCTTTAGATTATGAATTACAGGTAAATATTGACTAATTTTTAGTTTCAACTTCTGGAAAAATTAAAGAAGATAATTACTACCAAACTTTAAAAATTCTGGTGTTATTTATTGAATATTAAATGAACTGATTTCATTTGTGTTATGGTGCTACAGCCTAGCCATATATCCAATTGTGGATTATAAAAATAAGTTGTTCTAGAAATAATTTCTAGGATTGATGTACAATTAGGGATAGCTTCTGGACTTGAAAATTTTCAAGTGCGTCAGGAATATGGATGAACATTTCTTACAGAGTATAATATGGAAAAAGCCACTGAATATCAAATTTGTAGTATCTTAAAATATGAGTGTCCTTTATTTTGTCTAGTTTCTTCCAAACCATCCCCTTTAAAGCAGAGGACATTCCATAAAGTCTTAATCTGTGAAATAGCATTGGTTTAGAAAGTGAAATGAGTCTTGCCTTGATTTCTATGAAACACAGTATGACAACTTTTCTGTTTCACTACTGTCATTTTACTTATGACTAAACTTAAGATCAGTGGCTTACTGAAATTATATTTAGGATGTATATTTGCTTATACTCCTAGAAACTCTCATCTCATTACTTTTCTATGAAATATGAGCAATACAGCTAATGGAAAATGGTCAGGAGATCTTTCATGTTTAAGTAATGATTGCCTCGCTTTTATTATTGTATATTATAGTTTTACATTTGGAATTTTTAATACAAGAGCTGTGCTCTT